GAAAGCCTCACTTTTCTGCTTCATCATGAAAATCCAAGTGAATCTCAAATAATCATCAATAATAGACAGAAAATACCTGCGGCCTCCAATGGATTCAACTCGTGAATGACCCCAACAATCGGAGTGGAGGTAATCCAGTATCCCCTTCGTCCGGTGGATACCCTTCTTGGGAAACTTGTTGCAATGTAGCTTCCCAAACACAAAATGCTCACAGAACTCCACATTCTGCACCTTGTGCCTGCAAAGAAGATCCCTTTTCGATAGAACTTGCATCCCCCATTCGGAGACATATGGTATGAGGCTGCAGTACCTAGAAACCACACATCCCCACAATGTGCCTTCTCATCTACAGCCAAGGCGAGATCGTCTTCAGAACTGTTGTCCACTTCTGCCATGACAACTGAACCTTGTTTCTTCTGTTTCCCTCTTCTCCTGGGACAGTTGTAGTTCCAATGCCCCACTTCCTTACAGTTGTGACAAGCATCACTTGGCTGTCGATCGGGATCCTTAGAATTCTTGTTCGAATTCCCTTTACCAGATTTCTTCTTTCCCTTTCCACCTATAACAACCAAACCCGATGCCTTTACCAGATTTCTTCTTTCCCTTTCCACCTATGACAACGAAATTCTCATAAGCTTGAATATCTATATTACGCAGATCAAGCAAAATAGAGTTAAGTTGTTCGAGATGTTCCCTCAAATGCGTACTTTCTTGCATCCTCAAGCTGAACAACCGTTGCTTGAGATGCAGCTTGTTGGTTAGGGACTTCGTCATGTAAAGACTCTCCAACTTCAGCCACAAGCTCGCGACAGTCTTCTCAATGGTGAATTCAATGATGACGTCATTAAACAACGATAGCATGATGATCGAGTGAGCCTTATCCTCCAGGGTAATCCACCCCTCGTCATCGATCCCTGCCTTCTTCGGTTTCTCGGACAACGGACCCCACAACCCTTGGTGTTTCAATAGCATCTGCATCTTAATTTGCCATATACCAAAATTGTTCTTCCTCAGACACTTTTCGATCTTCATGTTCACCGACGTCATTCTTCATAATCAAAACCCTAGTATGATTTCTAACTGCGGCTATGATACCACTTGTTATAAACGCGTTGCTACGGATCGGGAAATCGCCGGAATCGAGAAAGCGAGAATACGAAAGCGAGAATCAAAAAACATGACACATGATTTACGTGGTTCACTAACACGATGTGTGTTAGCTAGTCCACGAGCGAGAGAGAACCAGTTTCACTATATCGAGGAGATTACATATTACAGAGGAGATGAGAAGTATTTATACTTCTACATGTGGGTCTAAACCTAATCCAATATGGTAAAGGAAACGGTTACAGACCAGGCCCAAAACCTGAACCCAAATAACATTGAGCCCATACACCGCGGGACCCACGACTATTCTAGTCGTAGCGGCTGATAGTCCGATTCAAGTCACATCAACAATGAATTTGTAGCTGATTGACCCGCAATCTGACAAACCCAAACTCAACTGAGCTGCAACCCGATAAACTTAAAACTCAATTAACCCGTAACCCGATTGAACTCAACTCGAAGCCCGCCCGAATTGACACCTCTGATTATCATATTTCTATTGCAAGATTTCTAAAAATGAAAAACTGAAACTGAAATGCGGGTTAATTGCACTGGATATCACTTAAGGTTTAATTTAGTTGCACGTTGACCACTTAATTCTGTTTTGTTGCAACTAAACCAATTACATCCAACTTTTGTTGCACCATTAGTTTTTCCATCTCAAAACTTAACGATAGGTATGAAATAATAATTTTCCAGCCCATGCAACCTAGCCAACTCAACCTGAGTGGTTGAGTTACAATAGATTAAGTCTAAATAAAAACTAAAGAAGAAAACTCAGTCGCACAAGGAGGAGAAATCGTATCTCCATTTGTTGATTTCTTTTTTATCGACTCTACTCTCTGTCAACCCAATTCTGATGTGGCTATGCTTAGGGATGGCAATGGGGCGGGTTTGGGGCGGGTTTGCCTAAACCATCCCCATCCCCGCTTTCAAATATCCATACCCATACCCGCCCCATACCCATGCGGGGGAAGGTTTTGCAAACCCATCCCCATACCCATGGGTTTCGGGTACCCATGGGTAATACCCGTCCCGTACATCCAACATTATAATACGGAATATTTTACATGTAGATTTTCAATTATAACATTAAGCGCACCTACTATATCATGAAGTTTACAAAGAGACAATCATTTTTAATACGATTCAAAGCATCTTATCCTAAAGCATCCATTAATCCATATCAAAGTAGAGTACAATGTCATTCAAATCATTATTCTCTATTGTGATACATCTATTAAGTAATAATTAACTAACATAATCTTGTTAACAAGGGGAAAAAGTGAAAGAGTGAAGGGAAAATTGAGACAAATAAATTAGATTTTGATTTGGGTGGTCACTTAATTGCATTTCTACTATATATTTTTATTGAGTTATACTCACTATTATTGATAGGTTACAAATCGATTCACATATTTTTCATATGTGAAGAAATATTTTTGGTGGGGCGGGTATGGGTATGAGTATGGGGCGGGAGAGGCTAAAACCATACCCGCCCCATACCCATCAAACTTTTTGCGAGTTTTACCCATACCCGCCCCATACCTGGTCAATGCGGGGATTCCCCGCGTTGACTGGGTCGGGGGCGGTCGGATACCCATGGGCATGGGTTTGATTGCCATCCCTAGCTATGCTCCGATGCACAATTTCTAGTTGGTCTCTTGCCGCAATCGCTTCATGCCTAACGGGAGAAGCCGCCACCTTCGGTTTCTTTTGGTTTATCATACAAACACATATAAGACATCGCTGACGGTCCTAACTCCGGCTCTTTCGATCGCTAGTCCACCGAATCCAACCCCTTTAACGCCCACGTCTACGTCTATTGCTACAACACTTCGTCGTTCTCCATCTTCGGCAGAGCATCCGAGATTCTTCGATGCAATTCGTCGCCCGGTGGAAATAACAATACCTGAATGTTTTGTTGCGATGATTCCACCTATCAAGGATTTTTATTAGAACAAACAATCATGCCCTTTATGCGGTGTCAGTGTCACCATTCAATATATGTTTATGCTCTGTTTCTCCATTATCAAAACAGGGGAATTTGGCAATGACTGTTTCTTCTTCAATGAACCACGTCCTTTTTACTACTCTCCAAGTTCGGATTCTTTCAAATGAGTATGATTCCATGTTTTCACGTCTAATTTACAAATTGGGTGGAATGAAAGCATGTGCATTTGTTTTTGTTTGTTTAATTTGTTTAGTTTGACGTTTATAAAAGTGGGTCAAAGTATTTTTCAAGCACATGGTTCAACAACTCAGCGTCTCAGCCTTAGGTGGATTGCCCTCTTAGCCTGTAAAATTATTATTTCATACCTAGTTACCTACCATTAAAAGTTTTGGGATGGAAAAATTAATGGTATAACAAAAGTTGGATGTAAGTAGTTTAATTGCGATAAAACAGAATTAAGTGGTCAAGCGTACAACTAAATTAAAATTAAATGGTATCCAATGCAATTAGCCCACTGAAACGCTTACTGTACTACAGGCCCATTTTCTGTCAAGGTATTTAATTTCTTCTTCGCGTAGATCATCACATCTCTAGGCCCAACTATTTCTCAAGTAGATCACCACCCAATGTAATCGGTCCACGAACTCATTACCAAGTAAACATTTAGGGGGCCAAGATCAGGTGACTAGGGGGTCGCTTAGTCACATGGCTAAGTGAATCTCCACCTCATTAAAATCCAATAGTTCAAATTAATCCAATTTAATGAAGGACAATATAGTAATTGCAAGATTATTCTTATTTTTTATTATTAAATATTTTTGACCTCTGACTCTTCCCTCCCGCCGTGCGCCTCATCTCTTCTTTTCCCCGCCGGGCAGGCTGTCGCCGGCCAGAATTTTTTTCGCAATTCCTGCTGGCTGGGAACCCTTACGTGCAATTGTTTTGGGGAAAAGAATTGTTTTGGGAACTTTTTCCCTTACGTGCAGACAGAGAGAGAGAGGTGCAATTGTTTTGGGAAAAAGAATTGTATTGGGAACTTTTTTCCTTACCTAGAGAGAGAGATTTTCTGTTCGGAATTTTTTTTTCCCAGCGACAGTGCTTTGTGATGTTTGTTGACATATTTTGTAATGTTTGCCGACCTATTTTGTAATGTTTGTATAGATTCGGTTTGTATTGTTTGTCATTTTTAGTGACATTTTGTACGGTTAGTATGCTTTGTACTGTTTGTCGGTTTATTTTGTAATGTTTGTACGCTTTGTTATTTTGTAATGTTTGTCGAGATTTTTTGTAATGTTTGTAAACTTTGTTATTTTTGTGCACCATGTTTATCATTTTTGTCAACCATGTTTGTAATGTTTTTATGTCTAAAAAACAACCTAGTTGTTATGAAAATATTATTATCTTTATGGATGACCAACATTAGATGCTCCATGGTATGTTACAAGTTCTATGTAACTCATCTCCTTATATTTATTTCTTCATATGACACATTAGATGCACAATTGGGTGTTACATGTAACCCCCCACCCCATTTCTATTTCACATTCATTCTCACATTCATGTATATTGACTGTAAGAATGTAGAGGTTATGTGATGTGTGCCTATAAATAGATGATCTCATTGTACTAAGGAATACATTAATAAGAAAGCTCTATTCCCCCACTCTTCTTGTCCCCCACTCTACTTGTGTCTCTACTCTTATGTCTATTGCTCTTCCTTGCTATTTTACAACACTAGTTGACTTTTGGATGGAACCCCTCTATATAGGGATGGAGCCTCCAAAGTCAACCCCGGTGTTTTTTCTAGTTCGTATGGATTGTCGGTCTAGTTTGTCATTTTTGTCCACCATGTTCGTTATGTTTGTATGTCTAAAAAATAACCGGGTTGACTTTGAGACGGAGCCCTCTATATAGGGATGAAGCCTCCAAAGTTAACCCCGGGTGTTTTTCCAGCTTGTATGAATTTTTGGTCTAGTTTGTCATTTTTGTCCACTATGTTTGTATGTATAAAAAACACCCGGGTTGACTTTGGGAAGGAGCCCCTCTATATAGGGATGGAGCCTACAAAGTCAACCAGGTTGTTTTTTCTTTTTGTATGGTTTGTATTGTTTGTCGGTCTAGTTTGTATTGTTTGTACAGTTCACACGTTTGTAATGTTTGTAAATCTGTTTGTATGTTTTGTCGCTTTAGTTTGTACTGTTCGTATGTTTGTATGGTTTGTACTGATTCTGATTGTAAATCCGGTTTGTATACTTCGTAATTTTCCATAATACCCAAACTACCCCTGTCATTAATTAAATAGCCCTTCCCACTTTTTAACCATTGGATTGAAGTGTCCAGATCTAATGACTAAGGACCCCCCTTAGTCATGGGATCCGCTCTCAACATTTAGGCCTTAACACGTTTTTATGAAAATAAATAGTTGTTACATATTTTATTCATACATATTGCATATCTTCTGAAAATAATTTCATCTAGATCACTAAACAATGACTATTATGCAAGGTTTGTGAAACCGTACCAGATATTATATCGTAAAAATTAATTGCAGAGTATTATGTTTTAAAATCATGATTTAGCAGTAGCATTTCTCAAACATCTCAGACATTGCTATTATGTAACACTATGGTTGTTAATGAGCCAAGCTATTCGTGAGCGGCTCGGTCTCGAACTCGATAAAAGCTCGTTCGATTAAAAAAAAGCTCTACCTTGTTCGGCTCGTGAAGCTCGTGAACTAGCTCGATTAGGTGGCTCGTTTAATACAACTCATGAACTGTCTCGTTTTGAGCTTATGAGATGTCCCAACGTTGTGACTAGAGAGCCAACTCGACTATAACTTATGAGAAAATCAATCTATATTCTATGAGTTGGTTTGTTAATGATGCATATAATTATTAAATTGTATATATCACCTCATATGGTGTTTAATACATTGAGTATATGTAAGCAAAAACGTCTCATATATGACATAACATTAGGTAATCACTTGTATCACACATGACATATAAATATTAGGATATTTATATTATAAATTATCTTAGAGTTGAGTTCGAGCCGAACTTTCAATCTGTCAAGATTTAATAAATGAGCTTACTCGTGTTCGACTCAACTCGTTTATAAACAAGTCGAACATGAACAAAGCAAAACTAGACTCATTAACAGCCCTATCGGTTGCACTTTGTGCTGGGCCTCGTCAAAACTGTCGGCCAAGTACTTGCACTCCGTGCCGAAGCTTACCCACCCTGAAACGAGAAACTTCTGCCTTGGAGCCTCTAACTACTAATTAGCCGCCGCTGTCTTCCAGAACCTGACATCAACATGGAATGTATTTTAATGGAAAGTAGCAATAAAAACAATGTTCAACAAAGCAGAGAAGGATAGAATATCTTTGAATGAACAATAATGTGAGTCCTCCTTCCTCCATAGGAAACAAAATGCCCAAAATTTCACCTCAACTTGCACATTGTACTGTAGTTTCCATTCTTTATTAGGGTTTGTCATCAACTTGCAGGCTCCTCAGACTATAACAATGGCCGGAGGAAGAAGAAACCACCACACCCAGTTCATCATCAATCATCCATAGCAAACCAAGAAAAGAAATGTTGAACCTGCTCGATGTCCCAATTCCCGGTTTCTTCTACCTTCTGCTACCGCTCTTCCTAATCTCCACATGGCTCATAGTTTTCAGAAAACCCAAAACCAACAACACCCCGCCATCTCCATTCAAGCTCCCCATCCTCGGCAACCTCCACCAGCTGGGCTCCCACCCGCACCGCTCCCTCCAATCCATGGCGCAGCGCCACGGCCCGATCATGCTCCTCCACCTCGGCCACGCCCCCATGGTGGTGATCTCCTCCCCTGAATCCGCCAAGGAAATCCTGAAAACCCACGACCTCACCTTCGCCAACCGGACCGATTCCATCATCTCCAGGAGGCTATTCTACAACTACAGAGACCTCTCGTTGTCGCCCTACGGCGAGTACTGGCGCCAGATGAGGAGCATCTGCGTGATGCAGCTCCTGAGCACCAAAAAGGTCCAGTCTTTTCGTTCTGTGAGGGAAGAGGAGGCGAATTTGATGGCCGGGCTAATCCAAGCGCGATCGGGCTCGGGCTCCCCTGTCGATTTAGGGGAGCTGTTTGCTGGGCTGACAGAGGATGTGATTTCCAGAGTTGCGTTTGGGAGGAAGTACAGGAAGCTGAAGGAGATGTTGAAGGAGATGGCGGTTCTGCTGGGGATTTTCAATGTGGCCGATTTCGTGCCGTGGATGGGTTGGATTAATCGGTTCAACGGGTTGAATGATCGGGTTGAGAGGGTTTTCGGAGAGTTCGATCGGTTTCTGGACGAAATTGTGGACGAGCATGTTGCTGCGAGGGGGAGGCAGGGGAATGAGAAAACAGAGGAGCTGGAGCAGAGGGATTTCGTCGATGTCCTGCTCGACGCACAGCAGGAGAACGAATTGATGGATCGCGACAGCATCAAAGCAATCATTCTGGTGAGCATAGTCCGCGTATACATTATGATCAAAAATTAAAATTTTATACATAATGACACCAAACTATCCCGCTAATTTCTTATGAACTTTTTTTGTGCAGGACATGTTCGGTGCGGGAAGCGATACCACATTCACGGCGCTGGAATGGGCTATGACAGAGGTGCTAAAGCACCCAAGAGTGACCAGAACGCTACAAGAGGAGATCAGAAGCGTGGCCGGGAACAAGCCGAGCGTAAACGAGGACGACATAGAGCGAATGCCGTACTTGAAAGCGGTGATCAAGGAATCTCTCCGGCTCCATCCGCCGATTCCGCTGCTGGTTCCGAGGGCGGCAACGAACGATACGAAGGTGATGGGCTACGACGTGAAGGCGAAGACAGGGGTGTTGATCAACGCGTGGGCGATCGGGAGGGATCCCGCGGCTTGGGAGGATGCAGAGGAGTTCAGGCCGGAGAGGTTTCTGTCGAGCTCGATCGATTACAAAGGATTGGATTTCCAATTGATTCCGTTTGGCGCTGGAAGGCGAGGGTGTCCTGGGATTACTTTTGCAGCTGCGGTGCTGGAGCTGGCGATGGTTGCCGTGCTGCACAAGGTTGATTGGAGCTTCCCCGGCGGAGCGAAAGCGGAGGATTTGGATATGAGTGAGGCCCCTGGGATGGCTGTCCAGCGGAAGTTCCCACTTCTCGCCATTGCGACTCTGCACCAGTTTTGAGTAGTGATTGATGTGTTCATGTCGGTTGGACATGCTTAACAAACACGCTCCTTTACTATTTATGCCGCAAATTTTTTTGGCGAAACACTGTCTCTTGTCCTTCTTTAGTATTCTTTCTTCTGGTTTAGGGTTCGATTAACAGATTGAAAACCCCCTTTTTCAATTGCAACGGTCACCTTTTGCTCCGACGACGTTTTGATCAGTTCAGAAGACGTTGGTTGTTCGCTGCGTTTTGGAGACATCAGGCCGCTCTGGAACGCTGTCGTTTTTTATTTCCTTTTATGTTGTCTTTTACCTTTCACTGCAAGTATGCTGGTTTCCTTTCCAAGCTACAAAACAATGTTTGTAATGGTGATTGTCTTCATCTGTTGGATCTGCCTATAAAAGGCAGAATGGTGAAATGAAACCATAAGCTTTTAGGGTTTCATTCTCTTTCTCTCCTACTTTGTTGTTACTAGCAAAGACCCGCTCGCTACGCTTCGCGCAAATGAAAAATCGATATAATATTAAGGCAATTCGAACAAAGCCAAATCAGTTGGCCTCTAAGAGTAGCCAAGTCGTAAAGACAATAATTAAGAAAAAAAGAAAGGTGAATACTAATTTCAAAGTGGAAAGCAAACTGAAAGAAACTTTGTTGGATGAGATGTCACTTAAATCGATATCAAATAATAAAGTAGACATAATAGTTTCTCAACAGCAGAATGGCTGGTAAAAATGAAGCAATCTGAGAAAAGGAACACTTGCTATTAGAAGATGCATATAATCTGTCTTTCCAATTTTGTTATGGCGATGGCCTTGCCATGGAATCGCTCAGAGGCTAAATGAAGATTGTCTTTTGGTGCTTGAATCGTTTCTCTGACCGTCTTAAGCAAAGTAGTGGAGAGAAACGCCATCGGAACTGGATTTTCTTCAACTGAGTCGGCGACAGAGCAACAATGGTTCCCACAATTTACCTTTACCTCCAAATCACAAGGAAACTTCCTTTCACCAACTGTGGATCTCTAATCACAATCCCTTGCAACACATTGTGACTGTATTTAAAAAAGATCTTGTTAATCACTTCAATTCCCCTAACCCTTATTCACTCTACATTATGACCATTGAGCCGGCTAGTGGAATCAGATGAGTCTTGTGTATGGACTTTTAAAGTAAAAATTATAAAAAAAAAATAGTCCTCACAGAATCCAAAGTATCTCATTCTCTATACTGAAATCATAATCATGCATAGTAAGTCACTAAAAATCAGTGCTGTAAAGATGACAAAGAAGGTCAAAACTCAAATGACCAAAAGGCATAGACATAGATGGAAGGAACAACTTACACTTGATGTTACTAAACCTGGATTGCAATTCCATGAATCTTGGATTAATTCCAGAAGCAAAAAAAAAAAAAAAAAACTCAAATCACATGGCTAGATGAACTCAACCCTACAATTTAATGCCGAGAGAAAAGCGACAGTACAATAAGCAGCATAGATGTGGTACCAAATAAACATTTTCTGCCCTGGAAACCTGAAAGGCATGAAAAAATAGTAAAGAATCAAAGGCAGCAGAACACCAATATGTATCTCAAACCAAGGAGGTCGTGCTTTGGCGCATTAAGAATGTTATCTAGAATTAGCAATAAACAGAGATGAACTCTAAAATTCAGAACTAAACCTGGTCACTATCCATAGGGAAAGCAATAGGACACTCTTGAAGATCCATAAGTGGCATCCAACTCCAAAGGAAAAAGTCTATACATAATCTTGAAGCTCACTGTGTTTTCACAATGGAAAGAATGGGCATCAATCAATTTCAGCTAGCAAATTACAAAGCTATAGTTCTTCGGCATAATCCTGACTGAATATCTAATGGAGATATTAAACAGAACAAATGGATAGGCCATGTGATCAGAAGGAACCAATGAGTTGCTAGAAATGACATAACAAACACAGGAATAGAAAAGGTGACCCTGAAATCACAGATTCCATACTGCAGAAGAAGGCCATGAAATAAGCAAAAGACAAAGAAAACAACCCAAACCGTGCTGCAAATGAGCTAAAAAAACCTAGTAGTAAAAAAGACATTGCAATATACACTGTCTTTTAAGGCTCATCAACCATAAGAAGAGAATGTTTGATTAGCATGGATCAACTATTTCATTTCACTGAACCTTCAGAAAATATGCTACTGTGTATTGGAACGGGAATCACACCTTTGCAAACATTTAACCACATTGCAATTTTGTCAACTAAACACTAATCACCTTAAACCACACTACAATAAAATTCTATCAAAATCACCAAGGAAAGACCCATGAATCCTATTAAATTATTATGGCAAAGGTTGCTAAAGCATGATGAAATATGTTGATAGTTGGAATGAATGAACTGTTGCATCATCCCATAAAAAGTAAATGGCAGCAAGAAATTTGGCCATCGAATCACACTAATTATAAATCCTGTAAGTACATGCATAATCACAATTTAAACTGCAATAGCAGCCTTAGATAAATCTACAACCTGCTGGCAGCAAACACATTGCATAATAGACAAATCATAACCCTTAAAGATCAATCAACCACAGCAAGTATTGGAGTTCCCTACATGTGCTTAAATCTGGACAACAATCTCGCTCATCAATGAGTAAAATGGGAATTGTAAGTTTGTAACCATTTCACTACCAAGAACTACATGTCCTAAAAAGACCCAAAAGATAGAGAGGCATAATACCATCACTGTCAGTGACTTCGAGGAGCAGGTTGTCTGGCACTGCCGGCTGATGTCGATTGGAATGATTTTCTGTGGAAGTTTAAGCTATGATTATAGGATTCAACTTAAAACAATCTGAGAGTAAATCGATGATGAACCATGTTACACCTTAGGAGCTGCATCGAATGCAAAGGACATGCAGATGAAAAAGAAGTACGATCAATACTTTTACAAAACATTCCAGCAAGCCAAGATACATTGCCGAACACAATAAAACCCTGTGAAATTGAGAATAAAGGCACGATGAAGAAGGCTACAACAGTATATAGGAGACTTAATAAGGCAGGATATATGACTCTATGTGACAATGAATGAGATAAAAGCTAGCCGAGAAAGGGGGAAAGAACCCAAATCAGAGAGCTATGTCCTCGCCAACACCCATGTGTGACAATCTCATAAAACAATTGCTATCATATAGGGTATAGATAAAGAAATTGGAACCCACTTTAACTTCTAGATTGGATAGAACTATGAAGGTTGATCATGGATTCATTCAAAGTACTTATAAAAGCAACCCACATGTCCAAACAAATCAGAACAGTTCTATATTTATACAATGAGCGATGAGGAATGCAAAACACCTAGACTCGTGGAATGAACTAAATCACAAATGAACGGGAAAAATAGATAAAAAGCCAGAGAGAGACCTGCCATTGCTCCCTTCTAGACTCGTGGAATGAACTAAATCACAAATGAACGGGAAAAATAGATAGAAAGCCAGAGAGAGACCTGCCATTGCTCCCGAGGGGGTCTCCCTTGCGGTGGCTTCTCAAACAATCAAAAACACTACCGCTGAGACAGAGGAAAGATATGAGAGGTGTTGGATTTCAACGGAAATGGTGGATTGAGAAAATTTTTCATTATGAGATTAACACCTCTACATACCTCCTCTCACCACTTCGCCCATCAGAGGTCATTGGAATCCCTGCCTCTATCCACACACCAAACAATACTTAATCGCACGGCCACCGCTGATTTTATGGCCATCCAACCATCATAATCAACGACAGTAGTATACACCACAACTCCAAGCTGGTTAACAAACTATATAAACAAACTAATGAACTCCATTAGTTAACTCCCAAAACTACATAAACAAACAAATTAAACCCAAAATAAAATGGCTTCTTACCACAACATAATGGCAGTGGCAGAGGCAAAGGAGAGCTTCACGAACCACCAAGCCACTTGAAAGTCTTCCATGAAAACCCAATCCAACCTTCATGGAAATAACCAGAAACCATATAAACCAAATAACCCAAAAGCAGCCTGGGGAAGTGATGATTTCAAAAAGAACGCTGAGAAATAGAAAATTAAGGGATGGATCTCCCTGGGCTGAAGATGATGAGTCACGGTTGGATTCAGAGGAGTACCCGTGATTCAGCCGCCGCGGGTACATGAGAGCTTCAAAGGTGGGATTCAGCCGTTGAGTTGCGGCCTGCGGGGGAGGGTTACTGAGATTAAGCCGGCAAGCTTCGGAACTGGGATTCAAACAGAGAGTTTTTGAGAAGGATGCATGTTCCGGCACGGCAGTGAATCGACCAGAAAAGGGTTCTTGATTTGGGAGGGTTTGAAACGAAGAGAAGATTGTTTTCCCCGGAGAGAGGAAGGAGGGAGAATTCATGGATGTGAAAAGAAAAGAATTGTCCAAATAAGAGGCAAAAAGAACAGAGGAAAAGGAGATGGAGGAGGGGTAGCTTGCGTGTGGGGTGGAAGGAGATATAGAAAGCTTGTCTTTGTTGCTGAAAAGCAACTTTTAGTGGGAAAGTGCCAGGAGTAGGGAGGAGAGGACACCACCCAAACCCATAGGATAATGAATGAATCTAGAGGTTCTGAGTAGGCGAGTGGGACAATAGAATGCTCTCACAATTACAGGGTCTTGGGAGGCGGGATTGGTGACTGACAAAGGGCAAACACTTGGACGTATCCCAATCGCAGAGAAGGAAATTGGGGGCCACTAATGAACAGTAGTGACAACCAAGGCTTTTATATAGGAATGGTATCAGAGCCTGCAATGAAACCCTAGCCGCCACCCTTCTTCCCTTTGAACAATGGCTGATAATCAACCAGATCCTCAACAGGCTGCAGCTCAAAATGCACAGCCTGTTAACATCCACCCACAAATTCCAAATGACCCTCTATCCGACCCCTTCTTTCTTCATGGTTCCGATCAACCTGGGACTCTCCTTGTTGGAGACCTCCTCACCCCCCACAAATTACAATGACTGGAGCAGAGCCATGCTCAATGCTCTTGCAACTAAAAACAAAACTGGCTTCATCAATGGTACAATACCAGAACCAGCAGCTACAGATCCACGTCATGGAGCCTGGACAAGAAACAATGTCATGGTTCTTAGTTGGCTTCAACAGGCCACTTCTTCTGAGATCAGAAAAACCATTCTCTCCAGCAAGACAGCTACTGAAGCATGGCAAAGTCTGCAAACTCGCTATGGTTCAGGAGATCTCATTCGCATAGCTGAGCTGGAAGAGGCTTTATCTACTCTGCAGCAAGGTAATCAAACAGTGACAGAGTATTATGATCGAGTAATTACTCTTAGAGATGAACTAGAGAATTACCAACCCTCTACCTTGTTCTTGTACTCCAACGAGTCATCTGGATTGTGCTGCTATGATAAAAGTTCTAAAGTACCAAGAAACTAGCTATGTCATCAAGTTTCTTCGTGGTTTGAATGAAAAATTTTCTGGGGTCAGAGCCCAAGTTTTATTTGGTGATGAACTACCAAACATCAACAGAGTCTTTCAACGCATGTTGCAGCATGAAAGACAGATTTATGGCACTAAATCTGGGAAGATGATTGCTTCTCTGCAGAATGATTCATCAGTTCTAGGTTTCCAACCTGAAAACAGAAGGTTTTCTCAGAGCAACAAACCCCCTTACTGCACTTTCTGCAAAAGAGAGGGCCATACTGAAGATATTTGTTTTCAAAAACATGGTTGGCCTCCTGGAATGTCCAAACCATCAATTTCCACCACTAATCTACCAATCATCTGCAATCACTGCAAAAGGAAGGGACATTCTGAGGACAAATGTTTCCAGAAACATGGATACCCTCCTAATTTTGTTCCTAGAAATCCATCTTCTGGTCCTCCAAGAGCCAGACCTTCTGCAAACTTGTCCACTGCTTCTTCCTCCAATGATGAAGTGAAACTCAGTCGTTCAGACTATGACAAACTGATGAACTTGATGAATGCTCAAAAGAGTCCTACCTCTTTCTCAGCTGCTGCTTATGTCACTCAGAAAGGCATTATTCCTTCCCCATCTCTTTCACTACCCATTCTGAATGCATACTCTTCAATGCAACCAAAATGGATAGTTGACACAGGAGTTTTAGATCATATAGTTTGCTCCTTGGATTATCTTCACAATTTCAAACCCTTATCCCACATATTCATCACTCTTCCTACTGGAGAGCATATTCAAGCAACACATTCAGGCACAGCAATTTGCAATGAAGACTTGATTCTCTATGATGCCTTGTTTGTTCCCCATTTCACTTTCAACCTGATTTCAGTTAGCAGACTCACCTCTCATAACTCCTTATGCTTAACCTTCCATTCAAACACTTGTCTTATACAGGATCTGAAGCAGACGAGAGTGATTGGTTCTGCTAGTCTCAGGAATGGTCTTTACTATCTTCAAGATTCTCTTTTCCCAAAGCTGGTTTCTGCTGCTTCCACCTCCACCTTTGACTTATGGCATTTTAGATTAGGACATGCCTCCCATTCTAAAATTCCATTTCTCAATCAATTCTGTACCTCCATTACCACTCACAAGGATCAACCATGTGATGTATGTCATTTTGCCAAGCAGAAAAGACTACCATTCCCTACCAGTCATTTTGTAACCCACTTTCCTTTTGAATTGCTACATGTAGACATTTGGGGACCAAATCCAGTACCAACCTATGATGGTTTCAAGTACTTCTTAACTGTAGTTGATGATTACTCTCGCATGACTTGGATCATTCTGTTACACCTTAAGTCAGAAGCCAGACCCAAACTCATTTCCTTCTGCAACCAAATGGAAAGACAGTTTCAAACAAAAATCAAAACCATTAGGAGTGATCAGGGCAAAGAATTCCAAATGGATGATTTTTACAATAACACAGGCATAATACATGAAATGTCTTGTGTTGAAACACCCCAGCAAAACAACAAGGTTGAAAGAAAACATCAACATATTCTTGCTGTTGCTAGGGCACTCCAGTTTCAATCATCCTTACCAAACTCCTTCTGGGGAGATTGTGTTAAACATTCTGTCTATCTCATAAACAAAGTCCCTTCCTTTGTTCTTTCCAACAAAACACCATTCTAGCTCCTACAAAACAAACCACCAGATTTGACAGACTTGAAGGTATTTGGCTGCCTTTGTTATGCCAGCACCCTTGCAAACCACAGAAAAAAGTTTGAATCCAGAGCCAGAAAAGCAGTTTTCATTGGCTACCCATCTGGCATTAAGGGTTACAAACTTTATGACCTCAATTCCCATGAATTTTTCATTTCCAGGGATGTCATTTTCTATGAAAATCACTTCCCCTTTCACTCCATCTCACCAGAACTAACCTCACCAGCAAACAATGACACAGAGAATTCTCTCCTATTTCCCATTCCATCTCCAAATTCCCATCTTGATCCTGAGGATCCTCCATCTCCTCCTTCAGTATCACCAATTCCTCCCATTCTTCCCACTTCACCAAACACCTCTCCTCTACTCAATTCTCCTGCTTCTTCACCATCATCTCATTCCTCACCTACTTCTTCTCCTTCTCCTCCTCCTCCCCCTCCCCCACCAAATCAACCAGTAAGACGTTCTGATAGAACAATCAAAAGGCCTTCTCACCTCATCCAAAACTATCACTGTTATCTGACCAAAGGACCTGGCAGCATCAATCACTCAAGTCAGCAACAGATCACAGATCCAAGGTACTCACTTTCTTCTCTCATTTCCTATAAAAATCTCTCTCCTTCCCACAAGCAATTCCTTCTCAACATTTCCAGTCATAGAGAACCACAGTCATACAAAGAAGCCTCCCAACTTGACATTTGGAATGAGGCAATGCAGCTTGAAATTAAAGCTCTATTGAAGAACCATACCTGGGATGTGGTCTCTTTACCAAAAGGAAAGAAACCAGTCAGCAACAAATGGATCTATAAGGATAAATTCCTTTCAGATGGTTCTTTAGAAAGGCACAAAGCCAGGCTTGTTGCCAAAGGCAACACACAACAAGAAGGTGTTGATTTTCAGGATACATTTGCCCCAGTGGTAAAAATGACAACAGTCAGGACATTCCTAGCTATTGCAGCAATGAGAAACTGGCATATCCATCAACTAGATGTGAATAATGCATTTCTACATGGAGACCTCGAAGAAGAGGTCTACATGACCCTTCCCACGGGTTATAACCCACCACCAGGCATTGAAAATCCAGTCTGCAAGCTCAGAAAAACACTATATGGATTAAAGCAAGCTTCCAGACAGTGGTTTTCCAAATTGACAGACAAGTTACAGCATATTGGTTATGTCCAGAGCAAAGCAGACCATTCCCTATTCTTTAAAGTAACTGAAACCAGTTACACATGCATCCTAATCTATGTGGATGACCTTGTTTTGGGAGGAAATGACATTACTGAGATTCAACATCTCAAGGACATGCTGCACAAAGAATTCAGTATCAAGGATCTCGGGAATTTAAAATATTTTTTAGGCATTGAAGTGTCAAGAAGCAAGACAGGAATTCATCTATCTCAAAGGAAGTATACATTGGAAATCTTGGAAGAAGCACAAGTTCTAGATTCCAAGTCTGTTTCAACTCCTATGGACTACAAAATACACCTCACCAATAATTCAGACAATGCCTTCGAAGATCCAGAGTTGTACAGAACACTTGTTGGCAAACTCATCTACTTGACTACAACACGTCCAGACATATGCTATGCCACTCAGCAACTCAGCCAGTTCATGTCTGCCCCCACAACTGTCCACTTCAAAGCTGTTCTTCGTATCTTGCGATATCTGAAATCAGCACCAGCTACTGGTCTCTTCTTCCCATCAACAGGCACCTTTCAAATCAAAGCCTTTACAGACTCTGATTGGGCGGCTTGTGTGGAAACTCGCCGCTCTACCACTGGTGTCTGCATCTATCTGGGTGAATCCCTCATTTCTTGGAAGACCAAAAAACAGCGAACTGTTTCAAGGTCATCTTGTGAAGCAGAATACCGAGCTCTGGCTTACACAGCCTGTGAAATACAATGGCTCCAGTATCTTCTACAAGACTTCCAGGCTGGATCATCCTCTGCTGCAGCTTTGTACTGCGACAATCAAAGTGCGATTCACATCGCCAAAAACCCAACCTTCCACGAGCGAACAAAACACATCGAGCTCGACTGTCATTTCGTCCGAGAAAAGATCCAATCCGGTTCAATCAAGCTTCTGCACATCTCCTCAGCCCACCAACTGCAGATCTCTTTACAAAGGCACTCTCCCCTTCTCCATTTCTGACATTGTTGTCCAAGCTTGGTGTGCGCAATATCTGCCCACCAGCTTGCGCGGGGGGGGGGGGGGGGGGGGGGGGGGATAACAGATTGAAAACCCCTTTTTCAATTGCAACGGTCACCTTTTGCTCCGACGACGTTTTGATCCGTTCAGAAGATGTTGGTTGTTCGCTGCGTTTTGGAGACATCAGGCCGCTCTGGAACGCTGTCGTTTTTTATTTCCTTTTATGTTGTCTTTTACTTTTCGCTGCAAGTATGCTGGTTTCCTTTCCAAGCTACAAAACAATGTTTGTAATGGTGATTGTCTTCATCTGTTGGATCTGCCTATAAAAGGCAGAATGGTGAAATGAAAACACAAGCTTTTAGGGTTTCATTCTCTTTCTCTCCTACTTTGTTGTTATCGACGAAGGCAGAGAACTGAGATAGCTAAATCTTTAATCGACATAACGTTCATTATACGTAACAAACCGAAAAGAAGGGTCTTCAAGCCATACATGTATTCGGTATTCCTCACTTAGGAGTTAGGTCATAATTACAACAGCATCTTCTCACCACACCAAAAAGAAAACCCCTAGCAGCTGCATTTTCTTCTTACACACCATCAACAAAACAAACCTTCCCTCGTCTTTCTTGAATTAATTAAAACCTTTCAATAAAATACTATTTTATTAGTATCACTATCAACTTATGATTTTCATGTACCAAAATTTGTTTTATTACCGTGATTCATAAATTATGAAGATAAGAAAATTCTTAACTCCAACATTGGTTGTACACAGAAGCTCCAACCATCCACGTGTTGCTTTGTTATTGGTGGACTCACCTTTCTTTTTTCTTAATATTTAATGTTCTTAATTATACTAAATGAATCAAGAATTAAAATATAAAAACAAAGATAAACTCATTAATAAAAAAAAATGACATTTGACTGATTGAAGCTAAGGCACGTCCTAACATGGTGGTTAAGGAAGAGGTGGCTGTGTCGTATGCCATGCAGGCTGGGAAGGTGGCGGGTGGGGTCCAACTGACTGAGGTGAAGGCGGTGAAACCTAGGAAGCGCCTGTCTAAAAAGAAAGGCGTGGAGGAGAAGCAGGTGGAGGCAGGACAGGAGCGCGACGTGGCCCCTTCTTCCCATGACACCAAGATGCAAGTGGCCACTGATCTTATTAATGATGGGATGCAGGGTGCGGCGGATTTAAATGATGATGGAGTCCCGGATGAGACAGCTTCGCTGAGCCCTTTCTCGAACGATGATGCTGGTAATTTCGAGATTAAACGCTGTGATCCTGTGAATGGCGGGCCTCGATGTGTGGGGGTAATGAAGGGCCGGGTCCGGCAAGTGGCTGATATTTTTGAAACAAGGCTTAATATTACGGCGGAGATCGTACACCCAGCTAGTGTGAAATTGGGAGGTCTTTCTCTGGATGAAGGGGGCGCTTCGAGGGCTCCGTTGGATGAATATGGCTCGAACCTCTTGGATCCAACGATCGGGGATCGCAAGAGGTCCTTGAAGGAGGTTGTAGGGGGTTTGGAGGAGTCGCCCACACCCAAAAGGCAATTTGTTGAAGAGAAGGAGATGAATGATTCGGTGGAGGAAGCCAGCTGCGAGTGGCCCCAACCGGATAAATGAAGCTTCTGGCCTGGAATGTGAGGGGAATTGGACCACCACTCACATTCCAAACTGCTGTAGGGTTAGTTCGATCGAATAAACCGGATCTTGTTTTCTTCTCTGAGACTCGATCGGGCCGGTGTGTTGTCTCTCGTCGTATTAGGGGTTTGGGGTTTTCTGCTGATCATTGTTTCTTTGTTGATGTTGTTAATGCATCGGGTGGGTTAGTTGTTGCTTGGTCCCCCGAAGTTAACGCTTCGGTGTTTTATCATTCAAACTTTTGTATTGGTGTTCAAATTAATGAAGTCGATTCTCAGTACGTTGTGTTCTGTGTTTACATCAGTTGTCAATCTAATATTCGCCTGAACCAACTGCTGAACTTGGTGAGATTTGTGAGGCGGTCCATTTTCCTTACGTGGTGCTGGGGGACTTCAATGTCACTCTCCATGCCCATGAAAAGGATGGCGGTAACCCGTGGAATGCTTCCCAATCCATTGCATTACGTAATTTTGTTCATAACCTTGGACTCCATGATCCCGGGCATCAAGGTGATCTTTTTACCTGGACAAACAAACGAATGGGGCCTGCCTGTATTAGGGAACGGTTGGACAGAGCTTTGTGTTCCCCGGAGTGGTTGGAACGATTTCCGAATACCATTGTTAAACATTTTACGGATCAAGGATCGGACCACCGTGCTTTGCTGCTGGCAGATAAACCTTACATCAGGAATAGTCGGCCCCTGTTCAGATTTGATGCCCGTTGGGCTGATAATCCAGAGGTAAAAGCAATGGTGACGTATGTCTGGAGTGAAAATGTCCCCGGTACCCCTATGTACCAGCTATGGGAACGGTTGAAGAAGCTGAGACATCTCCTATATGATTGGAGTAGGGCGGGTACGACGAATTCTCTGCGGAATATTCGCACCCTTCAAGCAAAAATTGAGCGGATAAAAGCTGTATGCCCGATTAATTGGGATGAAATTGGAACCCTTGAGACGGAACTTAGTAGGCAGTGGGAGGCGGAGGAACTGTATTGGCAACAGAAGTCCAGGGTTCGATGGCTGAAAAGAGGTGATAATTATTCGTCCTACTTTCATACAGTCACGCGCACTCGTCGAAAAAAGAATTTTGTGCACGGACTCAGGACGGAAACAGGTGAGTGCGTCACGGAGGAGGCGGGTAAAGCTGATATTGCAGGCAATTTTTACCAGCATCTGTTCACCTCTGAGAATCAGGTTCCAAACATGGCCTCTCGGGTGGAAGCACTCCCAATTCCCAGAGCGGTGACGCCGGAGATGAATGCTAGCCTAACAGCTCCTGTTTCTCCGGAGGAGGTTCGCCGCACGGTTTTCGCTATGGGGTCCAAACAGGCACCTGGGTCGGATGGGTTTACTGGCAAGTTCTTTAAAGCTTTTTGGAGCATTGTCGGTGATTCGGTGATTGATGCGGTTATTTCCTTCTTCGCAACTAGCAAGATGCTCCGTAGCTTTAATCACAGGTGGTTGACATTGATTCCTAAAGTGGATAATGTGGAAACAACGAAACAATTGCGGCCCATTAGCCTTTGTCAGTTTGTTTACAAAATTATCTCAAAGATCATGGCTGCTAGATTAGCTGTCATTTTACCGGTCATTATCTCGGATGGTCAAAATGCTTTTATTCGTGAGAGGCAAATTGTGGAGAATATCCTCCTGGGGCATGAATTGATGCACTACTTGAAAATCAAAAACCGTGGGAAGAAAGGGTTTATGGCTCTGAAGGTTGACATGGAAAAGGCCTATGACAGAGTCGAATGGCCGTTTCTCCTAGCGGTTTTGGATAAAATGGGGTTTAATTCTACCTGGCGAGGATGTATCCAGGAGTGCCTGCGATCAGCCTCTTTTTCAGTTCTCATGAATGGTACCCAGCAGGGTTCTTTGCCCCTTCCCGGGGACTGAGGCAGGGTGATCCGCTCTCCCCGCTGCTATTTGTCATTTGCACAGAGGGGTTTGCAGCTCTCCTTCGTAAGGCAATTTCGGAAAAAAGGTTAGAAGGGGTGAAAGTCGCTCCCCGCGCTCCTCGAATTTCGCATCTGTTCTTTGCTGATGTCTCCTATTTGTTCCTGCGGGGATCTCTCCAAGAATGTGAAAACCTGATTGAGGTCTTGAACGAGTATGAGGAGTTAAGTGGCCAAAAAGTGAACCTGGCTAAGTCAGCGGTTTGCTTTAGCAAGAATATTGCGGTGCCAGATCAGGAGTTCTTGGCACAAATTTTAGGAGTAGGGGCGGTGGGGGTGCACGATAAGTATTTAGGGTTGCCAACGTTAATTGCTTGATCCAAGATGGCAACGTTTCAGTACCTGGAGGACAAGTTGTTGGAGAGGTTGCAGGGATGGAAGCAGCGAACGCTTTCCTGGGCGGCCAAGGAGACATTGATCAAGGCAGTTGCAATGGCATTGCCGTTACATGTGTTGTCCTGTTTTAAGCTCCATCTGGGCCTTTGTAGGATTCTGGATAAACATGTGGCCCATTTTTGGTGGGGGGTGAATGAGGGGCAGCCTAAGATCCATTGGATGTCTTGGCGGAACCTCTGTCGAAGTAAGCATGAGGGTGGAATGGGGTTTCACCGGTTTGAGCAGTTCAATCAGCCTCTCCTTGCTAAAATTGGCTGGCGTATTCTGATGGACCCTCAATCCCTCTTGGCGAAGGTTTATAAAGGTAAATATTTTCCGCAGGGAACGTTCCTTGAGGCCAAAGCTCGTTCGCGGCCCTCGTGGGGTTGGACGAGTATCCTCCATGGGCGTGAGCTCTTGGTAGCTGGCTTGCGATGGCAAATCGGGAATGGCCAGACTGTTCCGCTCCTGCATTCCAGCCGGATACCTGGAGTACATCCTGAAATTCCTGTTTTTAACCCTCGGGTGTTGCCGGAAGATCGGGAGCCGCGGGTAGCTGCGGTCATGTGCCAGGGGGGAGGGGGGTGGTGTGTGGATAGCTTACATCAATGGTTTGATCCGGCTACGTGCAAGGCTATTCGTGCTATCCCTCTCCCGGTCCAGGGTGTGGAGGATAAACTGGTTTGGCATGGAACGTCGGATGGGATTTTCACGGTTAAGTCTGCCTATCACCTTGCGGTCACTCTTGATAAACGGTCGGGACGGTGGAGGGATATGGTTAGCTGGATGGATAAGAGCAGTTGGATCCGTTTGTGGGATGCGAATATTCCGCCTAAGCTTAAGATTTTTGCTTGGCAGATTTTTAATCGCATTCTCCCTACGATGGAGGCCCTTGTTGAGAAGAAGGTGTCGGTTCTGCCACGTTGCCCAGTTTGCTGGGATGAGCTAGAGTCCTTGGAGCATCTGTTCCTTTATTGCCCAGTTGCTCGAGCTATGTGGGATTATTCTGGTTTGGAATTTATGGGCGAGGGACTTTCGAGGCAGACCTTTCCTCTCTTCCTCAAGCGGTTATTGGCCCTTGTCCATCAACCTTCTCTATTCATGGCTGTGATGGCGGTCCTTTGGAGGATTTGGAAATCCCGGAATTGGGTGGTATTTGAGGGGAAACAGTTTGCCTTCTTGGCCTTGGTGCGTCAGTTTTAGCAGCAAGTGGATGAATGGGTGCGGTTGCCTGGGGACCCTTCCCCTGGTTTGGCTACGGGTGGCTTGCAAAGTCATCCGGCTCCGCAAGGGGATGCTGGTCTTGTCTGTCGGTGGGATGGGGCGACGAAATCAGGCTCCCACTCTGCGGGGGGCATGGTGCTCAGTTCAGAGGATGGGGTCCTGAGGGATGCTGGGGTTCAGTTCCCAGTTATTGATGATCCGGTGATTGCTGAAGTCCTGGCGCTTCGGGAGGCTGTGAAGTGGTGTTTAGCTCAAGGGTTTAGTATGATTCGCTTTGAGGGGGATGCCAAGGTAATTATCGATAAAATTCGGGGAGGGAAGTAGATGATAGTAGGATGGGGGCTGTTCTTAGCGAGGTAGTGCAAATTTTTGCCCTCCATCCTGGTTTGAGTATTCGATTTGTAGGTCGGCGTAGTAATAGGGTAGCCCACTTGGTGGCTAGAAAGGACCTTTCGATGTACCCGGCTGCTTGTCGTGCTGTTGATTTTCGGGCCTGGCTGAGTTCCAGGATGTAACTATCTTTTTCTTTTGATTAATATATATCTTTTGTAAAAAAAAAAACTAAGAATTTTTTCATAAGATATAAGATGTTGGAAAGAGGAAAAAATCTACTTTTGCTTCCTATTCCTATTCCAGAAAAAGGAAAGAATTATTTCGTTTTAAGATTTAATGGAGTTCAAGTGTGATTGAAAAACTTTAAGTTTCATTCCTCCGGGAGCTCGTCATCGGGTACACTAACGAAGAACGATAATTGAGAAATACACGTACTCATGAGTTGTGATCGTTGTCACGCTATAGGAATGTCGTCCGGTTAAATTTGGTTTAACCGATGTCGATAATGAAGCCTCCTTGAACACCATCGGTATGACCGAAAAGTTAGACTTACGACTTTTGAACAAATTATCATCGTTTTAGTGAATTTGATTATTAAAAAAGTAACTTATTATGTATCTTATGAATTTAAAATTTAAATGTTGATGCATGTTATTTGTTAGATTCAAGTATAAATATTTAAATATGGACGTTAAATCTTGTATTTAAATATGAGTATTTGTTATTTTATTTGAAATCTTATATGTTATTTAAATATGAATGTGGACTGTAAATAAATTGTTTTCAAAGTTCAAATATGTTTTTATATATGATATAAATCTATTTGACATTAATGGTTTTTACATCTCTATATATTTTGTTGGACCGACACAAATCGATAATATCACCGATCAAACCATTCCATCCCTAAACCAACACAAGCACACAACGATATAAACCGATTTTGACAAACTTGTAATCCACTGCCACACTTTACACATGTATTAACTTCTTCTTTTTTTGTGTGAAAAGAAGAGCGTTACTGGACGCTCTAACACATTTCATTAATCATGCGAGGCTCAGAAACCCCAATTACACCATGATCCAACCAGTAATCTAACATCGGCTCCTAAACAGTAAACATTCATAACGGAGCAACCCATTGGGATCTCATGTCCCATGTTTTCATATCAACTTTTCTACGACAGCATCAAAACTTTTGCGCACGAGTTAACCATAAGCGGACAAAAACGGTTCCCACCTTGACCGAGTTCAATGCTTTGACGTGAACGGCTAACAAAGCAGTTATTTCATATTTGTAGTACCCTAGCAAATATTTTATATTATAGCAGGCCAGCAGTCAAAAATTTGACCGCCACAAAGACCCTTTTGACTAATTCCGGTTACCACTCTCACGATCCCACTACTGCGGCGAGTGCAAAGTCGGCGTCTTCAGATGGACCGCCGACCCCGGCCCGGAGCCTCAACGGCATCAAAATCACGGGAAAAAAAATCACAGAAAAATATGATTTATTGTGTTTTTTAAAAGGGTGAAATTTGGACGGATTCGGTTTGGATATAAAATAATCATGTCCACCTATTACCCGCAATATTCGAATTCGACGCCGAATATTCTCAAAATATGATTTTATCCCACCTTGCTAATTACCCAAAACAAAACTCAAAGGGTGAAGCAACCAAAACCGTCAAATGCTTCTCCGTCCAGTCCGAATTAAATTATTGTTTAAGAATTTATTAGTTTACTGAACCAATCAATGCCATGTGGAAGGTTGGAGCGGTGGGCTACTGTACCGGTTACAGCTAAATTTAGTCCTTTTCAAATGCCACCCACTTTGATATATTTTGGAATGAAAAAAACTGAGACTTGTATCAGGGTGGGTACTGTTTGGTACGTTCGTAAGATTATACATCTTGATATATAAGTGAATCATGCTGGTGTGAACGCACCAAAGTGTAGAATGGTTGTGTTGGGTCTAGTATTAACCGCCTAATATGGGCTCAAGCTCACCACAAAGCATCTCACCTTGGGCCCAAGCCTATTCTAGGGTCCAGTACACCGGGAGGCGTCCAGCCTACCCGGGGGCGTCCACCACCGGGAGGCGTCCATTCACCGGAAGGCGTCCATCGAAGGGAGGCGTCCATAGGATGCCTCCGACTCTTATATAAGGAGGCCAGACCCTCCAAGCAAGGGGACTTCTTCTCTCCCTTCCCACATTCTACCACTTATGGTTCTCTCTCTAAACCCTATCTCTCTCTACATTCTCTACACTCTATCATATATCCTATTCTAACTTGACCGTCGGAGTGTAGATCACGGGGGCCGCCCCCGACTCTCCACAGGATTCTTCCACTCCCGAGGAGATCAGACGAGGGAGTCCGGATCAAGGTTCCACTCTAATCCCCCGGTACTAATCCGGGTCAAACAAGTTGCATCTATGATGAAAATATATTAACTGTTATTTATCACATTTCTCAACGTATACCACCAATTACCACCATTGTACTAGCCAGGGTGGTACTTTTTGTTCTCGAAATTATTTTCGCAAAAATTTGTAGATCTACGAATTCATTTCTTCTTGATAATTTTTTCAAAATTCGAGTTAGAGCAAGGTGGTACCAACTACCAAGTGATACCAGGGTGGTAATGAGTGGTATAAAATAATTTTGCTCTAAAGATATTGAAAATGACTATCATTTTGTAGATCATAAACACTCATTCTATCATTGTAAAAATTTTAAACTCCAAATTAGAACGAAAAAATAAAACTCGATTAAGAAATACGTGAAAAATAAAAAAAATCATTAATTTTCATCTCTTACATCTGACATGTACGTGGGCACCGGGCCGGGCCTCCCACGGGCTAGCACGACACGACACGGTTAGAGCACAGACACGAAATAAATGGGCCAGCCCGACACGAGCACGAATAATTTATGGGTCGTGTCGGGCCTAAAATTCATGGGCACGGGCATGAGCACGGGCACGACACGGTATATAAGTGGGTTGTGTTGGGCCTAATATATTTGAGATTTTATTGAGTATAAGAACGAACATGACACAAAAATAACATTTATTTGATAGAAAATAAATATAGAAAGAATTATAGGTTCAAATATTACAAATACAAGTAGAAAAATAATTATTTGTTGTTAGACGTGTCATAAAGATATATATGTAATTACTATCATAAGTAAAAATGGACGAAGAATTAAACAAAGCCAAATCACACCCGCTATATTTCCAATTTTCTTTTCCTCCTTATTTGTTACTTTTCTCAAACATTCTCGGTTAATACTATCTTTCTCCGTCCAATTTTTCACCATCTTTTTCATTCTCATTTTTATTTTCTTCCTTTTAATTAGACACGAATACGAGCACGGCACGATCACGAATAGGCACGACACGATTTGAGCCGTGCTTGGACCTGGGTCGGGCCTAGGAAAGTTAACAAATGGATTTTTTCGCCACGACACGAAAACTGACGGGCCGTGCCAAGCACGACACGAAATAAATGTGCCTGAAGCGTGTCCGTGACATGCCGGCCCAAGCACGACCCAACGCCATGTACTTATTCCGACCCCACTTAAAATTAAGGATTCAGATAAGCCATCCCTAAGCTAGAATGACTATAAACTAAAAGGTATATATTCAGTAGATATATTTAAAAACAAATAAATAATGAAGTGGAAAATTATGCTACTAACTAGTTTTTTTATTTATTTCCGTTCACGAAATGTTGTCGTGTTGTCGTTTGAGTTTAGCATCTCCCTGTCTTCACCAAAATCTTGTAGCGAGCGAATGAAGTCGTGATCGAGTGGTTGTACCGCTGGTTTTCAGCCTTTAACCATCAACTTCGAATCTCAGGAACGATGCTTACTTCTCTCCTCTTTCAACCTCTAATAGCACCCTGTAATAAAGGGGCGGACACAGGTGGTGGGTAGGAGTGTCCTGGAACACATCTAAAATTCGTTGAAAATATTAACGAAACTCTGATAGTAGTTTGAGTATGGAAAAAATGAAAAATAAAATAAATGGTAGCCTATGTGATTCAAACTCATGATATGTTTTTTTCATTTGACTATACTTCATTTATTATAAGTAATTTTAACATAAATATAATTATAAATAGTATATCTCTATTTTACAATTTTATTAAGAATATGAAAACATATCGTGAACTTTTGTAGTAATTTGTAGTAATTGATTATTTTTTTATTTAATTTAATTTTTGTTTGCGAGTTTTGACTCTTGAGTCGTAACTTTTCTGCGCGTTCGCTTGTGAATATTATTCAACCGTTGGTGTGCTTTTCACGTTTGCAATTACAAGAACATTAGAGATGTATGTACTCTTCCAAATAGACAACTTGTAATTTTTAAGGGATTTAGTTCTTCCTCCCCCCTCACGCTTAACCCTTAATAGAATGAGGTGAAGCAGCTAGAAGGCGAGTTGGAAAGAGAATTGTCATGTTTTTAGAAAACCGGCAGTGGTTGATTATTTGTTATAGAAAGTACTAACCACTACAAGATTCGAACTATCCAAAAAAACATCACTTGTACTCTATTGTTTGTTATATAAATCGTCATAATCGATTTAAAACTTCTAAGCAAAATGATATCATTTTAGTGAATTTAATTAATGAGATTATTTTATTATTTTATGAATTTAAAAGTTAAATTTTTATGTTATTAGTTGGATTTATACTTGACGTTAAATATTATATTTTAGTATGAATATTTGTTATTTTATCCAAAAATTCATATTTTATTTAAATATGAAAAGAATTATAAGTAGATTATCTTCCAATAATTTTTTTTATGAATGGGAATCTATATATCATCAAAAATCAGTACCTATTGGCATTTGATAACACCCCTGCCAATTGAGTCTATACACCAATAAGACCAAGCATCAACGAGGAATGAAAGAATTTTCAAGAATTCACCTCTTTGGCCTCATTCCACGATCACGAAGGTAACCAACGCTCATCAGCAGTGGATCACCTACCCCAAAAAGTATCATACAATTCCACCATCCTCTCAGCTCTCCCCACCCTCGGATCACTCTTCATCACCGCCAAGTACTCATGATTAGGGCTGCAAATGAGCCGAGCTGAGCCGAGTTTTACCCCAGCTTGAGCTTGACTAGTTAACAAATGAGCTGAGCTCGAGCCCGAGCCATTTATTAACGAGCCGAGTCGAGTTCGAGCTAGGCTTGTTTACTAAATTCTTAGATCGTATTTAATACATTCATTTTGTATGTCAAGTATGATAAATGTGATTGATGTAGCGATAAAAAAATAATCAAATGTTCAACATTAATTAATCTTATATTATAATTTTTAGGTGTCGTATTGTTTAGTTAATAAATTTTAACTAGTTCAAATCATGTTATTTCATAGTATCGAAACAATTTTGTACATAATTTCTTTATAGAATTAAAAATAAGGCATATTTTCTTACATGTTCAACATGTTAAACTTCACATGATGTGAGATTATAATTTAACAATCCTATGAATTATGAAAGTCTAAATTAGATCGATTAGTCCATAAGTCAGTGATCAAGTTGGCCCTCAAACCACAATGTTGAGACATCTCATGAGCTCTAAATGAGCCAACTCACGAGTTGAGCTCAACAAGCCACCGAGTCGAGCTAGCTCGCGAGCTTCACGAGCTGAACATAGCTAGGGTCAATCTTGGCTCGTCAGTAAACAAATCGAGTTTCGAACGAGTTTTTCCCGATTCGAACCTCGAGTTGCTCGCGAGTAGCTTGACTTATTTGCAGCCCTACTCATGATTTTGAGATACACTGTGATGGATCAATTTTTAACGATTCCCAGGAGGCGTCATATGGCGTTGTTATCTCGAACAACCATGGTCAAGAGTGTGATGGTAAAGTTGAGGCACTGCATTGTTTTTCCCCTCTTGAAGCTGAAGCCAAGGCCTTGTTGGAAGGCTCCCTTATGGCTACCGGGTTACGGTCGCCCTGCTTGGTCCCCCTCGGACTGCCTTTCCTTGGTCCATGCAGTTCACAGCCAACAGAAAGCATGGTTGTGGCGAGCGGCAACATGGCTTGGCACTATCAGGCAGACGCTGGAGACTCATCCTTTGATCAAGATCAATCACATTGGTCGTAAGAGTAACTCGAAAGCGAATTGGGTAGCTAGATCATGCACTAAGAACCAACTGCCATCTGAATGGTTACAGGTTCTAGATGTTGTAGCTCCCCTCTTGTAACCCTTGGCTTTTGCCACAAGTAATGAAAATGCAATGCCCTTATGTAAAAAAAACAAGTATATATAACCGGAAACAAAACAAAAACCTATAAGCCACGAGTAGAGACATGGACTCATGAATCTGATACTGTCCAGAATCCAAAGGTAATCACTTCACCTAAAACAACAACCAAATTTTTTTATAGCTGAATTAAGATATTTCCTTGGATATCTTGCCACCAGCATATCTTGCAGACAGCGTTCTCGCCATATCGCACTGATCATAGCCCTCCGTATCACTCTGCCACCTTGTGCAGCTAATGTCTGACCTTTGAAGTTGTTGATGGCCCACTGAAGTTCACTCTTCCCCTGGTCATTAGGCCTCCTGAGAGAGTAAGCAACAGAGAATAACCCTACAAACAAGAATATGTAGACATGACATTTTGCATAAAGGTGATCCATGGTTTTCCAATCCTTAGGAGATAGGTTATAGGACCATCATAGCCCCATTTGATCATCTTTTCACAAGTTGATATATGATCTGAAATAATCAGCTAATCTAAAAACTGGTCTTTGGTATCTCTGGGTTTTACCATACTAAAAGAGTGCCATGTGACAACAACCTCTCTTGGCCGGTCGAAAAAATTCCCAAACCCTCTGTATGTTATATTTCAACATAGGACTGCCATTCCATAGAAGGACATCCCCATTCAATTGCATAAATGGACTAACCTTCTCCCTATACTTTAAGAGCTTCAACCAGATCCAAGAACCAGCCTTCCTAGTGACTGACCAAGAATCAGAGTGCTTTAAATAGCCTTGAACCAACTGTATTGTCCAAATATGCCTAAACACACAGGTTATATTCCAACTAGAGAGGTCCCTAATTCTCAATCCTACTTCTTTCTTAGGGAAAGTATTGAAGTTCCAAGCAACCACTGCTTTCTTCCTGTCACCTTCTCCAACCCCCCTCCCCCACAGAAAGTCACTGCATAACTTTTCAATCTCCTTAACAACAGTTTTAGGAAGGATAAGAGTTGACATCCAGTATTGTGTAAGACTAAACAACACAATCATGATCAATTGTAATTTGTCAGCATAACTAAGGAACTTTGATCTCCATCTAGAGATCTTTGAAGTTAATCTATCAATTAATGGCTTACAAGCTTTAATTAATAGCTTCCCTAAAGTAAGGGGTAACCCCAAATACCTTACTGGAAGAGTCCCCAATTTTTAGCCAACTCTCTCATCCATATTCAGTTGGCATTCAAGAGAAGGACCACAACAAAATAACTCACACTTGGAGGGATTAGACACCAGAATAGAAAGAGAATGAAAGTGGCACATGATTTGCTTAATACATTGAAGACCATGATTAGACCCTTCAGAGAACAGAAGAAGGTCATCAGCAAACATAAAATGGGTCAGTTTAGTCTTTTACATTGAGGATGGAAAGGGAGAGAGTCATCACAAGCAGCCTTTTGCATAAGATAGGAAAAAACTTTTGTGGCAATTGAAAAAGGGTAAGGGAAAGAGGATTCGATTGCCTTAGACATTTCTTAGCTGGAAAAAAACCACCGTACCACCATTGAAGCCCACACTGAACTAGGGAGTGGCCACACACTGACACACATTCTGATCCATGCAATGAATGTTGGAAAAAACCTCATTTCCTCCACAACAGTCAATAAGTAACCCCAATCCAGAGATGCAAAGGCTTTCATTATTCCACCTTAATGATGCTTCTAGGAGAGATGTTTTTCTAGTGATACTTTATACTAATTCATGGGCCAACATAATATTTCACCTATTGACCGACCTTTAACAAATGCATACTAGTTTGCACTGATAACATTAGGAAGAACATACATGAGTCTCTTAGCTAGGATTTTAGAAACACACTTATATATAATATTGCAACAAGCAATTTGCCCAAAGAACTTCATCTCCTCAGGACTGTTTATCTTAGGTATAAGAGTGAGTAAAGTTGAGTTTACCTCTGATCGTATTAAGAGTGAATGAAAGTATGAAATAATGTTGGACAATATCTGTAATCTCTGCACCTATGATAGACCAGGTATATTGGAAGAATATGGCTGAGAACCCCTCTGGTTCATGACTTTTATCCCCTTTAAAGCAAAAATAGTATCTTTTACTTCACCAGCAATAACTGGGCCACATAATGATGTAACCTGCCTTGGCTCTAGTTTCTTTGGCAAAATGCTAAGGAAATAGTCAACTAATTCATGCTAACATTAGGATCAGCCTTACCTAGAGGATTTTCATAGAAAGTCACAACAACTTTGCTCATTAAGTCTATTTTAGTGACTGTGTTACCCTCTGCATCTAATAAAGACCTTATCATGTTCCTTTTCTGCCTAACCTTCATAGATCTATGAAAGCAGGCATAGTTTGCATCACCTTCCTTCAATCAGATTTCTCTTGACTTTAGACGTAGAAATATTCCTCAGCCTCCCTTAGCAATTTATGCTCTCCTGAAATCTTCTTCTCTTCCCCAAAAGAACTATCAGATGGCTGGCATAAAGCAGCAGCTTGCGCCAACATCAACTCCCCTTCCTCAAGTTTAACTCTTTCCCTTAGGTAATAATATTTTTCTCGATTAACCTTTTTGAGCAAACCTTTTAGGCAAAATCTGTAGCCAAAACTTTGACGTTTGTGACAATAATAGCCACTTTTGGGGAAATACCAATAATAACCAAAATTTTGAAAGTTTCATGACAATAATAGCCATTTCCGTTACATAATTTAACAGCGTCAGTGACACCGTTAATTAAATTGACGGAACGCTAACTTGGCTGCCAACTCACCCTCTCTTTCATTTCCAACTCGGCACTCAAACGACACGTCAGTTACAAAAAAAAATCCCCCTATCCCTAATGGCCTAATCTCTTTGAACCCTCTTCTTTCTCCTCCAGCAACCCACCGCCCCTCCTCCCATCGTCAATCAGACAATCACCATTAATCTGCTTCCAATACCCCTCTTCTTCTCCCATATACTACTCTCCTCATCCTTCGATTTCTTCTTTCTCCTGCAGCTAAGAAAACAGAAATCTAAAAAACCCAGAGATTTGAAATCATTCTTTTCAAGGCATCATCAAGTGACCTCTAATCTTCCCTCAACGCCACCATTGTTGATCTCTCCCTCGAATCCTCCACCTCTCTTTCCTCTGGTATTCCCCTTACACGCAAAAAGATCCCCAGTAAAATAGTCATAACACGCAAAAGATTCCCCTCCATCTCGATCTGCCCTCTACCCTATGCTCCCATTATCTCATCTTTTCATCTCCTTCTCAACTTCATCAAAACCAGCAGCTACCGGCGGTCAGTCCTCGCCACCGCTGCCAAGCTCCCAAATCTCTCTTCCCCTATCGAACTCCCCTCCCCTGTCTTCACTCCCAGAATTTAATCCATCGCCTACCTCTATTCCAATCCAAACACTACTCAACATTCTCCTCTAGTTGCTGAGCCCAGCCATCGAGCCCGATATGAAGGAGAAAGAAGGATTCGTCGCCCGGTCTCCGAGAGGAGGAAAGAGACTCATCGTTGTCGATGGTGAACTCCGACGCCACTGCTTCTCTTCCTGTTTCCGAGTTGTCTTGCCTGTGAATCGAACCATCACACATGCGGGCGCCACCTTCTGAAAATCCATGGTCATTGCGGAGCCCATCAAATCCCTAAATGAATCCCCATCCAAAATCTGGGTTTGTTAAAAGCGTTGGAGATATGGTTTGGGGGTTTAAGAATCTGACGGCGGAGTGGAGATTTAGGAGGACAAAGCAGTGTCGGCGGGGGTGAGTGGTGCGAGGTGGAGAGAGTGGAAGGAGAGGGTGAAGAGCTCCGGGAAGAATCCAGTCGTGATAGAATAATCGAGAGAGTTTAAAGAATAGAGAGTTTCGGCTAGGGAAGGGATGGGGAAGAAGAGAGGTGGACGTGTCGTCCTTCGAAGGAAGAGGGATAAGGGGGAGAAAATGAGATCGGAGAAAGAGGGATCAGGGGGAGAAGATGGAATCAAAGGAAGAGGGATCAAGGGGAGAAGAGGGTTGGAGAAAATGAGGGAGAGAGGGATAATTTACTTTTCATTTTATTTTTATATTTTAAAGTTAATCCATGTGGCATTGTTACTTACAAAAATTTTGCCACGTCAGCCTTTCCGTTAGTCCAGTAAGCACGTTAACTAACATCGTCAAACAATTGGACAGAAGCGGCTATTTTTTGTATTTCGCCAAACGTGGCTATATTTGGCAAAACCATCAAAGTTTTGACTACACAAGTTTATTTGGCCAACCTTTTAAAATTCTAAGTTTCTTGCAGATTCTTCCCAGAGGAGATCCAACAACATCACTAGACCGGGCCTCTTCAACCAACTCCAAAAGGCTAGATGCTCACGAGCCATCCAAAACCTAAAAAACTTGAAAGGCTAAGGGAGAGATTTGATAGAGCTATCGGCGGTTAAGAAGATGGGACAATGGTCCGAGACTGAAGGGTCAACAAGATCAATACAATTATATTCATTTGTGTTAATCATTTTTCACATTTCTACATATTTTATTAAACCGTATGATTGTCAATAAGACACCATTGCAAATGAAGGCATGCACAATTATACTTTGACTGCTTTTAATGATTTACTGAAGAAATTTGCTAAACGAGCACAATGGTATAAACCGATTTGACAACCTTACTTAGAAGTTAGAAGTTAACAATAAAAACAAACTTTCGCAACGAGATCTAAGTGGGGATGTGGGCGAAGTTTCTTTCCTTGTAGAGCAGGTGATCAGATAACATAGAATAATGAGAACTTGAGCAAGACAAGTTAGCCACGAGTTGTATCTGTCACACTGCAACACTGATCTCATCAACTTCTCTATGACAACGTCGAAATAATTACTTTTAGCACACGAATGAACCATACGCGGGCAAGAACGTTCCCACTTCCCACTTCGGCATTATATTAAAAGCAGTTACGTTCTTTGGACTGTACTCTAGCAATTGCAATATCAGTGCGATGTGTCCAAATACCAAACCGGTAGGTAAACCATTAAATTAAAGCAGGCTACAAATTTTGGCCGCAACAAAGACCCGTTTGACTAATTCCTGGTTACCATCCAAACAATTCCCACCACTACGGAGAGTACAAAGTTGGAACGGCAAGAAGAGGCGTCCTCCGATGGACCGCCAGCCCCGGCGCCTCGTCGGCGTCCAACCCACCACCCTCCTCTCCGCCGGGCACCGACCAATTGAACCTGTGCAACATGCTGACCAACGTGATCTCCATCGAAGCCGTTGCGAAACTGATCCCGGGGCACCCTCTCCTCCCCGCCCCGAACGGTATCAACTCAAAATCCTGCCCCTTGAAATCGACCTTGCTGTTCAGGAACCGCTCCGGCCTGAACTCCTCTGCATCGTCCCCCCACCTCTTCGAATCCCTCCCGATCGCCCACGCGTTGACGATCACCCTCGTCTTTTCGGGGACGTCGTAACCCTGTACCTTCACGTCCTGGGTCGATTCCCTCGGCACCAGGAGCGGGATCGGCGGGTGCAGTCTGAAGGACTCTTTGATCACTGCTTTTAAATAGTCCATCCGCTCGATCACCTCCTCCCTTACGTTCCTCTCGTCACCAAGGATCACTCGAATCTCTTGCTGCAACTTCTCCATTACCCTCGGGTGACGTAGTATCTCCGTCATCGTCCATTCCAACGCGGTATACGTCGTGTCCGACCCCGCCGCGAACATGTCCTATATAAAAAACACACACAACAACAAAAAATCTCACCTCGTGGAAACAAAAACAAACCAGAAAAAAATAGTTCTGCGAGCGTTGTAGTGATATGTGTATTATTTTACCATGACAATTTTATGATTGAAACCAAAATTAAACTACGGTTTCAACATAAAATATTATGTCGCGCTGATATTTTCGGCATAACCTTCCATACGAATTTTCAATCCTTGGAAGAAAAAAAAAGTTCTAGCCGTCCCCTAGACTTGCAGTAAAAATATGGATTACCAGGACGATGGCTTTGATGGTGTCTCGATCGACGGCGGAATCAGGAGTCTCTCTCTGAATCTGAAGAAGAACGTCGACGATATCCTTCTCCTCCTCCTCCTCACTCTTTTCCTCTGTCGTCAGACGATGGTCCTCCACGACCCGGTCTAGAAACTCGTCGAACTCTGCGAAAACCTTCTCGACCCTCCGGTCCAACCCGTTAAACCGGTTGACCCAACCCAACCAGGGAATAAAATCCGCCACGTTCACCGTCCCGAGAACAGCCCCGAACTCCTCGAGCATCAGCTTGAACTTCCTCCCACCTTCCTCCTCCCCGTCGTCGTCGTCCCCGTACTTCCGCCCGAACGCCACCCTGCACACGACGTCGTTCGTCATCCTCGAAATCAGCTCGCCCAGGTCCAGCGGCGTGCCGTTGGACGCTCCCTCCTCGATTGTGGCGACCAGGAGCGCCGCCTCCTGCTCGCGGATGTGGCGGAAGGAGTCGACGCGCCTGGCGCTGAGGAGGCGCGTGACGCAGATGGCGCGCATCTGGCGCCAGTAGGCGGAGTAAGGGGTCTGCGAGAGGTCCTTGTAGTTGTAGAGGAGGCGGTTGGAGATGGCGGAGTAAGGGCGGTTGGAGAAGACGAGGTCGTGGGTTTTCATGATCTGTTTGGCGGATTCCGGCGAGGAGGCGACGAGGGTCGGGGCGGAGCCGAGGCGGAGGAGGAAGAGCGGGCCGTGGGTGAGGGAGAGGGAGCGGAGGGTGCGGTGAGGGTGGGTGCCGAGTTGGTGGAGGTTCCCCAGGATGGGGAGCTTCCACGGGGAAGGTGGCGAGTTCGAGTTTGACTTCTTGTTGGAGAAGAGGAGGAGGAATTTGGCGGAGAGGAAGAGGAAGAGGAGAAGTGAAGCGAGTTGCAGAGGGTGGGAGAGGAAGAAGATGAAGAACTGTTGCAGGCCATACATTTTTTCTTTTTTGCTTATCAGGTTCTCGAGTTTGTTTCCGTTGCGTTTCCATTTGTGCTCGTTATTTATAGGAACTAAATTGTCCACATAGGGCTACTTGTTGTTCGTACAAAGACAATCCAGTCGATTTCTCCGGACTGCAAACTTGAAATTCTTTTTTTTATTGTGGAGAAGATATAAAAAAAAGTAACTAATGTTTTCAGAACCGGGCCGGATGTTGTACCTGAAAAGTTAGTGATTCATGGTTCGACGATTAATCGTTAATTTAGAAGTGTCAATTCGAGTTCGGGTATGGGTTTTAACCGAACCAAAACCGATAAGATGTATTATCGGGTTTTTGGTTTGGTTTTGGGTTCGGGTTTTTGGTTTCGAGTTAGCTAAAGATAAAGACGCTTCATATCCCATAAGGTGTTTTCATTTTTGGGTTTCGGTTTTGCCTTAACCGAACCCAATAACCAAAACAAAAAAAATCTCTTATCAGGTTCAGATTCGGTTTTCAAATGATAACGAGTTTCGGTTTTGTGGGTTTCAGGTCGGTTACCCGAACCGAACCAGCCCGACAACTCTATTCGTTATAAAATCGTTGACATAACCGTTTATGCATTGTAGCATAAAAGACATATATAATATGCTAATTTAGGAGTGGAATTATCACTAACCATAAACAATTTCAAAAATCTATATTATCCATCACCAAAAAGTTGTAACAAAATATTCAAACACAAACAATATAATTTTTTATATTAAATTCAAGTTAGTAAACAATAAGGCAATTCGTAGTGGACCACATAAAGCTGACAAGGAGGTTTGGAAATGAAGAAAAGGAAACATAAATAAAATTGGTGACTGAGGTTGGATAATCATAATTCATGTTGAAATAAAAAAAAAATTCTTAATTTTTTCGATTAAAATTGTGAATTAGTGGTAGTCAAACTAGGATGGTTCATCTGATTTCATGTCAAATCATAAAAAATCGTTACGTACATCCCTAATTGTCCAATCAAATAAACTGAACCGATACTATAACTAGTTTAGTGGTTTTACTAACCTAGTCGCGGATTCGATTCGAATCTTATATCAATGAAAAAAAACTTTATTAATTTTATTTTCATACAGAAAATATATATATATTTTTTTTTCTTTCTCGGACAACAGTCCAGCTCACAATGAAAACCGAGACTAACTATTTTCAAATTTGACTTAAGAAAGGGTTAGAGCATTGTTTTCTTCCTTCTCTATGCTGCACATACTTACATTCTTACAAACGAATGATTACAAAAATAAAAGTTAAAATATATATTTTTTTATTTTAATTGGCAATTTTTATAATTGAATTACCGACTCTCAAGCGTATTAGTATTTTTTGGTTGAACTTTCTCGTGTAATTTTCATTAATACATTTAGAAGCTTTCAAATGATTACCATAATTATTATCATTACAACAACCAAATTAAACTTAATCGGTTTAAATAATTGATTAATGATTAACCAACATGGATTTATATTGCATAAAAATTTCTTCTTTTAATGCACAATCCACAATGAAAAATGCTCTCTTTAGAGAATAAAATAAATATAATGAATAATTAACTACTGTAGTTACGAGTAGAGTTCAACGAGTTGATCCCAATCACTCGAGTTTTTTTAAGAGATTCAATCATACTTGTCGCCCTGGCATGCTCATTCTTCTCAATGAGAAATTAATAATAGGTCACAATGGAGGAGTTACCGAAAGTCGTCTCACTCGACTTTGATTGTGTTTATAGGCAACTGAATTTAGATCGGTCACAAAAATATCAACCATGTGATACATACATTTTTGGATTGGGACAATATCATGAGTTGCATATATTATATTAAGCAAAACAGTATAGTATATAACTATATATATAGATCACTAATTAGTTTGACCGGTTAGCAGGGTCTTTAATCACACCAAACCAACTAAACAAATTTAGTTGAGCAATTTAACCAATTTAAATTAACAGAATACTATGACTTAAAATAATGGCCATGATTTTTCATCAGTCTGAAGCTCACTGAATTCACTGTAAGAAGCGACAGTCAACTAGTTTCTTAGTTTTTGCATAAAAATTTCCGTTGATTAGTATTCACGGAGAAGTGTTCAATTAATCAAATTAGAACCTGAAAAAGACTCATTATTATATCGTGAATTCGATAGATTGGCATTTGGCAGGAGCACTTCTACTATGCTATATATATAGCATCGGTGCTTTAATGTACAATTTAAAGTTGTACCATAACATTAAATGTATAAGTTTAGGTTGTATCATGAAAGAATTTGTATCATTATGTTATGGTACAACTTTACAACTTGAAGTTGTACCATCAAATAAAAGTACAAGTTCAAGTTGTACCATCAAAGAATTTGTACAAAATGTATAGGTACAATCTGAAGTTGTACCATAACGTTAAATGTACAATTTCATATTGTACCATAAAGGTAAAAAAATTATAGCACCAATACTATATAACATTGTAAAATTCCTCTTGACAGGCTAGTTTACATCCGACGACACTGCTTTCGTCGTGTTGTACGTACGTGTCTTGGGCCTATAGGGCGTTGCGTACATGGATGGATATGAACAACAGTTAATAGTTATTCTTAATAACATTTTCAGGACAAAATATATCACCTTGGTAGAGGGTAGTAATCTGTGGTAGACGGCGATGAAAGATCGTTTGAGGACTGAAAGAAGAGGTAAATAAGCCATAAATGATAGTTTGTATATTTTTATTATCATATATATAATTATTTTAAAATATAGTATATTCATACCAATATGATATACTTTTATAGTACATAAGATAATCTTATGTACTATTAAGTATTATCACCACGATATAGACTGGTAATAAATGTCTATATTTTTTTGTTCCAAAATATATCAAAGTGAATGTCATTTTGAAAAACACAATTAATATAATTTATCTCCACAAAAAGAAATTAGAACTTACAATTAAAGAGAGATAATCCTCTAAAATTAGCGAAAAAATTAATTACCTTCTATAAAAGATAAATGTATAATTATACATGATTACTGACTCAATTAGAGGTGAGCAACGGGACGGAATTAGGTACTCGTCCCGTTTAAAACGGATACCCAGCCCCATTTGGAGAGGATACTACATCTCATGTCCCAAAACCATTACGAGTTAACAGGTACGCGTTACCCGTACGAGGCGGATAACGGGTACCCACAGGTAACCCATAAATACCTAAAATGACAAATGGTAGTTTTTGCAAAATGATTCAATAATCAGCAAAAAGATTCAATAATCGAGGCAGATTTAGGTATGCGACTCGAGGTCGAGACCGAGTGGAAAGACCCGCGTCGGAAGGGAAATAGTGTCTTGCCGAGTCGCCGAATCGGGGTTTGGTGTTTGGCGTTGTGTCTCGATCTTGTAGAGTGATGCCGAGGGTCGAGACTTGAGGGAGTCTAGTAGAGGACGAGAGGTTAGAACTCAGAGGAGATTTTTCTCACGGTATTACAGGTATTAATATTAACCAACAAATATTAACGGGTAATTCGTGGATATTCATTATAGAAATCATTAATCCAAAGTTTCATCCCGTTAAAAAATAGGTATTTGAATATCCATAACAAAAAAAAACAAGACGAATATAAGTATATCAAAATACCAGTTTTCCGTTGTCCACCCCTAAACCCAATGTGATTCGCTCTCTATTCTAGGATAGCCGTAGGATATGGGGATGGAATAGACGGTTGAATGAGAACAAAGGATAGAAAGAGGATGAAGAAGAATTAGGTAGTGGATTAAAGGAGAAAATCTAAAAGATTATTGTTATTCTACAATTCGGTCTAAGTCGGCAATTATTTTACATTGATGTCCTACTCCTACCTAGACTAATGTAACCTATTGTTCTGTTACCATTTACTTTATCAACCACAATTACCAAAATACCCCGCTTACCTCACCAACTCCATACGCCTTCAAAGTTCAAACCAACCATGTTCTCTATGATGTCACTATGTTTGGCAATGCAAGTTCGACGGGTGTAAGTTCGAGAGGTAAAATGTTGAAGAGTGCAACTTGATGGTCGAGACTCGAGGGAGTCTGGTAGAGGACGAGAGGTTAGAACTCAGAGGAGAGGAGGCCGGTGATGAGCTGGGCTGGGTTGGGTGGGGTGGGTTGGGGTTGAGCCGCTAGGGCGGGATGGGGCTGGAATTGGACTCAAGTTGGCCTTGGGGCAGGGCTATGTAATGTCTATTTTGTAGGAATTTTTCTTCACGGTATTACAAGTATTAATATTAACCATCAAATATTAACGGGTAATTCGTGGATATTCATTATAGAAATCATTAATCCAAAGTTTCATCCCGTTAAAAAATGGGTATTTGAATATCCATAACCAAAAAAACAAGACGAATATAAATATATCAAAATACCAGTTTTCCGTTGTCCACCCCTAAACCCAATGTGATTCACTCTCTATTCTAGTATAGCCGTAGAATATGGGGATGGAATAGACGGTTGAATGAGAACAAAAGGATAGAAAGAGGGAACGGCTACGGTGCTAATTGTACAATAGTTAGCATCGTCCTAACCAAGGGAAAAACTACTACTAGTTTGAATTAGTAGTGATTTAGCTTAGATGTTGTATTGATTTTATAATAATTCGTAGTGATTTCGTTATTTTTAGTAGCGTTTTTTGCTAGTTATCACGGTGCTAACTCCTATAAGGGTTAGCACCTAATCCCATCCCATAGAAAGAGGATGAAGAAGAATTAGGTAGTGGATTAAAGGAGAAAATCTAAGATATTATTGTTATTCTACAATTCGGTCTAAGTCGGCAATTATTTTACACTGATGTCGTACCTAGACTAATGTAACCTATTGTTCTGTTACCATTTACTTTATCAACCACAATTACCAAAATACCCCGCTTACCTCACAAACTCCACACGCCTTCAAAGTTCAAACCAACCATGTTCTCTATGATGTCACTATGTTTGGCAATAAGGATGCAAGTTCGACGGGTGTAAGTTCGAG